ACAATTCAGTGAGAAGCTTGCATTTTCTTCTTAGACTTCTATGGAGTATATGGTATTACCCTGCTTCCTTCTTTTGGATCTTCTGTTGGATGGTAAGACCTTCATAGAATCATAGAATAGTTTGGGTTGGAAGGGACGTCTAAAGGTCATCTAGTCCAACCCCCCTGCCGTGGGCGGGGACATCTTCAACTAGATCAGGTTGCTTAGAGCCCCGTCCAACCTGACCTGGAATGTTTCCAGGGATGGGGCATCCACCACCTCTCTGGGCAACCTGGGCCAGTGTTTCACCACCCTCAGCGTCAAAAATTTCTTCCTTCTATCTAATCTAAATCTACCTCCCTTTAGTTTAAAGCCATTCCCCCTTATCCTGTCACAACAGGCCCTGCTAAAAATTTTGCCGCCATCTTTTTTATAAGCCCCCTTTAAGTACTGATAGGCTGCAATAAGGTCTCCCTGAAGCCTTCTCTTCTCTAGGCTGAACAACCCCAACTCTCTCAGCCTTTCTTCATAGGAGAGGTGTGCCATCCCCCTGATCATTTTCGTGGCCCTCTTCTGGACCTGCTCCAACAGGACCGTGTCTTTCTTATGCTGAGGGCTCCAGACCTGGACACAGTACTCCAGGTGGGGTCTCACCAGAGCAGAGTAGAGGGGCAGAATCACCTCCCTCGACCTGCTGGCCACGGTGCTTTTGATGCAGCCCAGGATACAATTTGCCTTCTGGGCTGCGAGCGCACATTGCTGGCTCATGTCCAGCTTTTCATCCACCAGTACCCCCAAGTCCTTCTCAGCAGGGCTGCTCTTAATCCCCCACCGTACCCTACAGTGCAAGAAGTATCTGGCCCATTATGTCAGTTCTGCTGTGAGGTTAGCAATCTTTGATAAATGCACCAAGCAGATGCAGCCAGGAGCCTTTTCAAAGTGCTACAGCAAAATTCCCTGCAGTTCAGATGCCTGCCCTGTAATCCCAGGAGGCAGCTGCAGCCCACACAGATGTAAACCAGCTGTCTCAGGCCAAGTATTGCTCCTAACTGTGGCAGAACAGGGCTCAGCATAGGCTGCAGGGCAGCCTGAAGTCCAGTTAAGCACCTGTCCTTTGGCACTGGCACCAGCAGAGTTGAATTTTTCTCTTGCATATGCACAGCTACTTTAAATGTTAACTTAGGTGAGTCTACGCAAGCTGCAGTTTCAACTCTGGAATGTGCTTGGGGGCATAAGTTAAACGTCTAAGCACAAATTGTGTTGTTTAACTATTTCTGACTGCACCCCTCTTCTGCGCGCTGACACCCAGCCCAGTGCCATAGGCCTTGACATATCTCTTCACATGTGACCCTGTCCCTTCATTACATAGTTCCAAGAATTCATAGCTTCACACTGTGTGTCCAGCAAAACATTTTAATCTGCAACACTACATTGCTTCCAGAGAAAAGCTACCAAAATGAGAGATCAAAGCTGGCCACGAGCCGGGGTAGGCACAGTGCTCACTGCCCCGCCTGGCTCCTTCCACGTGTTGTATCCTCACCCACTTCACTTTCTTAGTTCACCAGTCCCTGTAGTTAACGTATTTCTCTCTTGTTTCTTTTTCAGCCCTTTTTGTCAAGGGAGGGTCTGGGACTTGTGGGGGATGGCTGCCCAGCCCAAGGGAAAACCAGTAGGAACAGAGCCCATCAGCTGGAGGTGCTCTGCTCAGAGTCCTTACTCCGTCCCACATTAAAATTTTTTGATGCTTTAATGCTCACTTCCCCTCTTGTCACCATCTGTTGTCCTCCACGATTATTTACTGTCTTCCTTCCTTTTCTTTGGCACCCCCCTGCCCTTGCCAGGGAAGCTCTTTGGACTTGTTAGAGTTAGGCCAATAGGGGAGACCAGTAGGAACAGAGACCATAAACAAATGCCCAGGAAAGACTAAGAAAAGGGTAACCGTATATGACACTTCCCCATGTACTCTCCCGATCTCTATTTTCAGCTCTGGGGCTTTCCTGGCTTTATATGATTTGTCTAATAAGCAACCTTTAATATAGCTCTGTCTTGGTTCCTCACTGAGAAGTAGCAAGTTTTTCTCTAGCTAGATCAGAAAGTCAATGTGATAAACAGCATGCCCTGTTGAGACAAAGGGGCAAATTCAGGAGTACAGAAAAAGCAATGGAGCCCTAGTATTTCTGAAGAAGGCTGAAACGGAACAGATGTTTATCAGATAGAAATGTAAAACTGCTCCTGATTCCAGAAGCTGCAGAGGACCAGGTATCATTGTTAGTGAAATTAGGTCCATTGAAGAAGATAGTCATCTTGCTATACTTTACTGTTCCTAATAGAGAAAGAACAGTTCTGAAAAACAGTCTTCAGCACCACAGCAGATGTCTAAAATAAAGAGATGGCTCACTAGACAGAACATCCAAACAACGCTGGGGAGAAGGGGAGTGGGGACTCACACTAGAGTTGTGCCTATCAACCGGGTATGCACTACTAGCTCAAGTCTTTGAGTATTTGCTGTCTTGGACAAGTCCCAGAGAAACACAATATTATGGCAAAAGAGTTGATGTGATTACCAGTCACGCAAACAGGAGGAGGGGGTATTTTTTAGCTCTCTGTACAGCATTACTGAGTCCAGTATTGGAATGTAGCATCCAAAAAACCAGAAGAGTGAATACATAGAAGGGCTTGGAAGTTATTAAGGGCCTGTAAAAATGCCTTGCAGTTAGACTTACACTTTGTTCTCTTTCATTTACCAGCTAGAAGACTAAGGGACCTGCTTATATTTCTTCTCGGCAGGGCTGCTCTCAATCCTTTCATCCCCCAGCCTGTATTGATACCGGGGGTTGCCCAAACCCAGGTGCAGGACCTTGTACATGGCCTTGTTAAACCTCATGAGGTTCACACAGGCCCACTTCTCGAGCTTCTTGAGCTTCAAGACTCAGACCATCTCATTGCCTTGCTTATACTGCAGCTACTGCAGTGAAATCCTAATCCACTGCAAGGGTTCCTACTGGACCTTTAATGAATGTTAGTAACACAGATGTGTTATTTTACTGTCACATAGTACTAGACTACATATCGCTTCTTCTAAAGCCAAGAAGATGTGGAGATGCAAAATCTGCATCCTAAGAAAGCATGAAGAGCAGTCTCCAGAGAGAAGCAGGACATTCCCTTCCACCAGAGTATCCTCCAGCATTGCTCCATGGGGGAGAAACTCATATTCCCATAACCATCAGAGAAGACTGGGGTAAGGCATGGTAGCAGTCTTAAGATACATTTTTAAAAGCTGCTACAAAACTAAGGGAGTAATCAGTTTATTACACAGATTTGGGAAGAACTAAAAAAAAAGGAATGAAATGTCCTTGCAGCCAAGGACAGTCAGACCAGACATTAAGAAGGAAAGGCTTTCAGTAGCAAGGACAGTGTGAAGGACCTCCCGTTGTAAGTAGGAGTTGATTCTACTTTGCTGCAGAGGCACAACCTACATGATCTCAATGCCTTCCTCAAGGCTGGAAGGTGGAGACAATTAGAAAGTATGTCCTGCTGTGATGGCCATACTACAAAAAGTGTGTTTGCAAGTTGCAGACCATTTGACGAATTACAGTCATTCTATTAGCCCTAGATGATTTGCCATGTACAGGAAGATTAATGAATTTCTGTCTTCTTTTTTTTTTTTTTTTTTGAATGTAGGAGCAGATGCATAATGTCATTTTTGCAAACTATAAATACTAACGCATAAGGAAAAGATTTCTCATTGCAGATGGATGTAGCACTGTATTTTAGTTCCTAGCTGGCCCGGTAAACACATTGGGGAAAAAAAGGCTATTTCTGCTATGTGCTCATCTTCTCAGAATACCTGTTTCACATCCTAGCTGTATGGTGACCCTATTAATGATACCAGTCTGTCTGTTCCTTCTGTGTTTACACATGGGTATATTACATCTTATGCATTTTGCAAATTGTTCATAAAATTCTTTTTTTTTTCACTTTTACCTATTTATTTATTTAATCTGCTAGACTTTATGCTCGCTTCTCAATTGGATGCACCTTTGAGTTATTATTTGGAGGTGTTTTGGGCTTTTTTGCAAGGGTTTAATCTTGTTTACGACCTCCCTAACTCTGCTGACCAGCCTACATTTCTTCATTCCTAAATGTTCTTGCTAGATCATATACATTTGCTCTGCACCTCCAACATGGTAGCTTAAATAATTGCTATGTCCTTGCAAACATTTTTAATTTGTCCTTATAATTTCTTTTTAACAAGTCGCTAAATTTTATGCATTTCACTTGTTTGAAATGAAATGTAATGGTGGTGGATAGTTTTGACTGTTGTTGTATCTGCAAGGATGTTCTACTGTGGGATTGCTGTGTTACCAAGCAGCACTTCAACAGTAATGTGTTGAAACATGTCCTGTGTGTTGGTCAGGTCCAGGTCAAGTTTTGCGTCTGTTCTTCTCAGGACTGTGACTAGCTGCTCCTTTAAACACACGCTGAGGTTGTTTAGCAATTTAGTCATGGAGCCATATTACAAACTAACGTTCATCTTCTGTATGAGTAGTACTTTTCCATCACAACTACAAAATTCCCTGTTAGTATAGCATTTCAGTTTTGCAGTCTCTGAGCTCTCATAGCATCACGTATCCAGTGTCCCTTGCTTAGGGAAAAGGAGGAAATGGTTTAAAATTGTGAGAAGAGTCTCTGAAGCCAGTGCTAAGATGACCGCAGCAGAGGATGGTTTGCATCAGTCACAACTAGTCCTCTGAAGACGGTAGTAGCCAATCCACCCACCCCATGTGATGAGAAGGTGAAGTTGGTGTGGCCTGTGGAGCAGCTCAGCTTCTAGCAATGTCCTTTTAAGAGGGCTGGCATCACAGTGCTGTGCTGTGATTTGCATGGTAATGGCTTCTGAAGCACTTCTTATGTGAAAGCACTTGAGGGACTAAGGAGGTATAGTGTAGTGGAAAATCCAAAAGAATGTTCTGTTCTATGGCTGAATATATTTGTGCTTTTTCACCTTTTTTTTCTTGCAGACATTGCAATCCTGGGAATGGACATCGATGTGCAAACCATAGAGGACAATGTCATCAGCTTGGAGATGCTGTTTAAAACATGGCTACATGACTACGGCACAGAGAGAGAACACCTCCAGCTCCTCCTTCCATCAGGAGGCTTCAGCCATGCCACTGCACCCAAGACCACCCTAAGTATTTAATTTTCTCTCCCCCTCTGCAGGGAGATCCTAAATCCCACAGCCTTAAAGATTAACCAGGGCTGTCCTATGGGCATGTTCCCTCCCATTTAGAGACCCAAGTAAGGTCTCTGCATGACTTTGAAAGCTGTCTGGAATTACTGTTGTCTCAGGCTGAAGAGGGTCCATTTGCTTAGAATACTTCTAGGTTGCTGCCATGTCCTGTGGCTGCTGATGCTGTAATTCATTTCCATTCTGCAGCAAAAATGTGCCTTTGAAGAGTATGTGAATTTATAGCCACTTGGTCAAGGTAAAAGGAGCCTTACATACTGAGAGCCAAGGACCTTCAGGCTCAGTTGTATAGCCCTAAAAATTGTGTTCCTTGTGTTTGATACTAAAAGTCTGTGCCAGAGCCACACTTAAATAAAGGCTGTCTTACAAAGGAACTTGGCTTGTATTTATATCTATTGATTTAGCACTAAAATAGCTAATGTTCTAGCTGGAGCTGCCAACAGTTATAATAATGCATGGGAAAATTTATAGGGACTATGTAATTTTTTTTCCTTTACTAGCCTAAGTCCAAATCTCTAATCCATCCTTGGATGAGTACTGAAAACACCAACAGCTACAGCAGACATAGGTGTTTCCTGTCAATTGTTGTTAACTGTATTGTCACCATTGCACTGCCATGGGAATCTGCACATGCAGTTCCGGCAACCCCCTTTCCATGCCTCTCCAATATGGTACCATATGCCATTCCAATATGGTACTCATGTGCAGCTTCCCATTGCCATCACAGCAGAAGCACACTTGTTTTGTTCTGGTGATCCACAGGCCAGTTCCAGACTGGAAGCAAAGCTTATAGAGAGTTGCTGGTGGCTTTTGCAGATATGCTCCACAGCAAGCAGATCAGAAAGCAAGCAGATCAGAAAGCCTGGTGTGACTTTTTATTTATGTAGTAGCTACCATAACAGCCTCCAGGCAATTACGATATTTTGTTAAACGTGGATTTTCCTTCATCATAACACTGAATTTCATATTTGATGCATTGCCTTATTATAGCTAGCAAGACAAACCAAGTTACACTGCAGTCAGGTTTTTTCACCTTCCCACACTCAAGAAATCTGTAGAAGGCCAGAGAAATTGTATGCAGCTATGTATCATATTATACAAGAGTTAGTGTCATCAGTGTGCTGGGTTTCTCCACAAACACAGATAGAAAAGCTGGCAGGAAATGTGTGGCCCTGAACCCAGTGTAGCATTGGGAAACGAGCTTCTGCTCCCTCTACAGCTGGCCACTCATCGCTAAAACTGAAACTTGCCTGCCCAGTTACCAACCAATCATTGTTTCATTAATGTGCCAAGCATCTGGTATTTTCCCTTGTGTGTAAAATGGGGATAGATTGTTGCCTTGTGTCACAGGCTTTAGCGTTGTTCTTCCCTTAATAGTTGCTGTTGCTAGAAAACATTAACTTAGTGTTTGTAAGTGCTTTGAGCATGTCAGGTGCTAAACATTGCCATTTCCAGCAATCTAAACCAATCTCCTTCTCCTAGTGTGCCTGAAGTGCGATTTGCAGGAGAGATTGCTCGACCCAGCTCTACTTTCTGGGATGGCTGATGGCACCATGAGAGCAGCAGATTTTAATTCACCCTGCCAGATGGCAGCCTGGCCAGCTACAGTGCTGTATAAACTCCGGGTTGTAAAGTAAGTGTTGTTACATGCTTTGCGCTTGGTAACTGGAAGGCTGGTATAATAGCAGCCTTCACTCTTTCTGTGCAATTTCAACTACGACCTAGTAACATCACCATAAAGTGCTGAGGGACTCAAAGGGCTAGTGAGCAAAATTCTGATGTAAGATACCCTAAACCCCCATAACTCAGTGTTACGGAACAGCACATCCCACACATGCAGACAGGAGCACAGAGTCAAAAATGGTGTTACCATGACACTAGCACTTTATGAGCTAACATCATAGGTGTTATTCATGCAACAGTTGTTTCCCTCCAGTGTGAAGTTCTGTAGATTGCAGCCATTGCTCCATATATAATTCTGCTGTTCTCTCACTACCTAATGAGGCCACAGCAATTAATTGGATGTCAGAGCCTGAGCTAACTAGCTGACTAGTAGTAAAGAAGCAAGCAAAGCCTCATAGTGCTGTGTGACTTCACGAAAGAATTTACTCGCTTTCCCATCAGCAGTCTATGGCTGGTAAGCACAGAGCATAACAAGAGTGATGCTCTCTAATCTTTTCTGAGGTTTATTTATAGGAAAAATTTTGTGTAATTTCTGAACTATACAGTTGTTCTTAAAATGATTCTCATCCTGTCAGTAGCTGAAGAGCACTCAGTAATTGTGCATAAATGGCCCACAGTCAAAGCACTGAAGCTACTTAATAATGCCCTGTCACGAAGCAAGTGTGCGCTATGGACAGGCAATGTCAAACACTGTAACGTCTGTAGTGGTGTTTGTGGTGGGATGTTGGCTCTGTGCAGGAGTAGAGCACGTGTCAGTTTAAGTGAAGGATAACCATGATCCAGTAAAAATCACTTAGGAAGAGAGATGATTGCCCGGGTGAGTTATTGCCCAAGAGCCCAGATTAACAATCTGTTTTGTATACAAAATGCAAATGCATGAAGACTGGATTTGCTTCTTGGCATGCTCTTGTCAACACAGATACAAGGAAATCTGGTAATCAGCAAGAAAGCCTCTTTTCACTGCAATTGGACTTTTCTGCAAGGTTTCATAGTGACAGGCCACAGCAATACAGACATTAAGTGCTTGTAGTGGTATTGCAGCTGATACTCCCATAGTCACTTGAGCTAGTAATCTCCTGGTAGAGTCTTCTTGCTGGTTTCACGTTGGCTGTGCTTCATTAACATGAGCTGTATATTTGCAGGGCTCTGAAGTCTGAAGGGGTCTGTGAGTCTGTACTGTATGGCCTGCCCTTCATCATCAAGCCCACAAGCTGCTGGCAGCTAGACTGGGATGAACTGGAAACAAACCAGCACAGCTTCCATGCTCTATGTCATAGTCTTCTGGTGAGTGTGTGAGAATTGCAGTCTCATGGGGAGGAATTGCCATAGAAAGGAATAGTTAGTGCATATCTAGTAAGATCTGTCTAGCCTGCACAAGAAAACATGTTTCAAAAGCTGCAGCTTCATCTCATGGGCCAGAGTTGGGCTTGTAAATCCTTCCAGCCAATGCATCCACTGGAGACGCTACAGCACATCAAACCTTAGAGAAGACTCTATAGCCTATCAGAAATCCAGTGTTTGGACATATGAAGTGCAAAAGTCAGGGTTGGAGTTAGATGTACATCTTTAACTGCGAAAATAATTAACCAAGGCTTGGGACGTGGAGGACTTTCCATTACTGACAAGTCGTAAAGCAAAATTGGATGTTTTTCTTAAGAATTGTCTTGCATTCAATTAAAAAAAAAAAACCAAACAACATACTATCTTCAACCATAATGCACAATAGTGTTCTTATTCTGATGTGTATGAATGTCTGCTCCTGAACCCAGCAGCCCCTACAGTGAAAGTGCTGAAGGAAGTGGCTATTGCCCATTGTTCACATTGGGTTTGGCTTTTGCCATTTAGAAAAGGAAGTGGATGCTTTTGGCCAAACGTGAGCCACAGAACACTAGTCCAAACTGGAACATCGTGGTGCATTCCTACTACATCATTGTCCCTTCTGACTCTGCCACTCTACTTGTCAAAGCAGTCGCCATGAGAGAGCTCTTGCTGCCATCAACCTTCCCAGCCCTCCTTGCTGAACATCCTGAGAGAGTGCATGGCCTTATAGAGGTAAGTCATTGACAGCCCTGCACAAATATCTGTGGAAAGGATCCCAGTTGTACAAGCAGGGATCAGAGTAATGACCAGCCTTTATGCACAGGACATGCAGTTGCTGCTGAAGATGTATCTATCTCCCTCATTGCTGGGGAACATGGATCTCCTCAGACTGCAGAGAGAGGTGCTTTAGGCATAAGATAAACCAATATACAAAGTACCTCTGTTTCTTCCAATAGATTCAGGCTTCTGCATTTCCTATTGTGCACCCATATGTTCTTCTCCTGAGTTGTTTGCCTCTGCTTCAGGTGATGCCAGGAAGGGCAGAGCCCTCACTATAGGTCTTAGCAGATGAGTAGAGGAGGAAACAGCTGTGAAAATGTCTAGTGACAGCTGGAATATGAGGGAGCACTCCAAAATTTCTTCCCAGCAGCCAATATATCCTACAGCTTTCTTCATGGACAGCAAATGCCTGGCCTTTGGAGCAATGTTCCAGTCTGTTGCGGGGAGGGGGAAGACGCCTTATGAAGCAGAGAGTTGAGGGTGACAGTGCCCAGAACGGGTACTCCAGCTTGTTGGCTGATTCTGGGCATGGGGGAGGATAGGACTGCATCCTGCAAGGGAATGCTTAAATCCATTAAGACCTGGTTGCAGATGCCTCTTGTTCTATACACAGCTAAGAATGGTCCTTGTGGGTAGCAGCACAGCCAAAGATCCCTTCTCCCATCACTGCAGGGTGGCATGGAGCGTCTGTAACACTCATGCCTGCAAAAAAAGCCCTTGACACTAAACCCCCCAAAAAAGCCCAAGCAAACCCCACAGCCTCTACCTGTCACATCTCATAACCACTAGGTTCTTTCTTCTGTCTGAGCAGAGTGCCCTGAACAGCTTGGAAGTGGAAGTTGCTTATAACCCCTTGCACCTAAAAAGCAATCTCTACAAATACCTGAAGAGTATGTTGTACAAACCTCTGCACAGGCAGCAGGCCCAGCCCAGGGACCAGCGACCAGAGCGGCATCAACCCAAGCAGGTATGTCTCTTGCCTTCGACCAGCCTAGATAGTCTCTGTTCTGCCCTTCTGGTCTGCTTCCTGCAGATACCCTAGTGGTACAGGGAAGGCAGCATATGGCAGGGACAACATTCACTTGCAGCTGGCAGAGCAGAGGGATGGGCATAGCATAAGCTCATGCAATTGAGGAGAGGGATGCTGAACAGCTGGCACCTGCAGACACAGTGGGACAGTGCACTATTGGACAAGCCAGCACCTCCTTCCACAAAGTACATTCGTATTTTGTCCCTGTATTGCAGCATCAGAGCAGAGTGAAAGCCACGGTGGCACCCCTTCTGATGGCTCCTTCTCCTGTCCAAGTGTTCAGACCAGCAGGGGTAAGGAGAGATTCCTGTGAGCGCTCCCTGCTCCCCAAAGAGTATGACGAGTTCCTGCAGTGAACCCCAGGGCACTGCTTGAGCCTGCTCACATGCAGTCATGGCTTGGCTTCTTGCTCGGCTGCCAAGCCTTACGCACTGGGCCAGAAGTGATCGGGCAAGACACTAAGCTTGGCCTTTGTCAGACAGGCACTTCCCATTGTTTGTTCCTCCTTGTTGTTTTATGGTTTTGTTAGTCACCAAGTCAGTCTGCAGGAAGCCCACTACTCCGGGGCCCTCTGTCCAGAGATTCAGCTATCCCCTGCAACACCCCATATTTCCCATTCTTGTCAGTACACATCACCAGCATGCCTCAAATTTTGGTTTCTGAGACTAGGCTAGTACAGACCACAAACCACAGATTGCTGTCAGCGGGTGCAGAAAAGCTGCAAGCAGGGCAGTGAGGAAGTCAGACAGATAGGTAAAGTAGGCAGTAACATCAGGCTGCCCTCAGGGTGTTTGAATAGGCATAAAACAAGGCTTTTGAATTTAATCTTAAAGCTCAGAATGCTGCCCTCCTGAGAGCAGCACTACCCATGATGATGCCGATTCGCTTGCTTCCATAATTGGTCTCACTGTCCAACTCCCAAGCTCATGAAGGGGTTTGTAGCAAGTGCCAAGCCAGTCATAATGCCCTGGCTGGCTCCTACACAGTGACAGCTCACCACAGCTGGAGCTGCAGCACAGCACCATTCTCCCAGCCAACTGCTCCTTGGATGCTCTCCTCCTTATGGCCCGTCTGTGCCTATGGGACTGTCCTGCAAGCCAACACAGCAAGTACTTTTTGGCAGGGTTCAGAAGATGGGGGGACTTGGCCTGGAGCTTTCCAGAGAGCTTCTGCCCAGTGCTTGCACAGGTGCTAGCCTGTTTTTCAGTGCAGACATACGACAGCTGCCCCTGGCAGGGCAGGAGCTGAGGGCAGCTCGACTGAGCCAAGGTGGGGGTGGTTTCACTGGGCTTCCTGGATGCAGAGCACCATCAGCGGTTTGTGTTCTACTTACTTCATTCTGACAAGCTGTTTTCAAAATAAAGTTATCCACCATAATGTTCACTTACTGCCTGTAGTTTATAATGTGTACTGTATGCAGCAATCCCAGCACTGACCTGTACTTCCTGAGAAACAGCTGCAGTTGACCAAGGGCACAATGCAAACACCATGCTCCTGGGGGGACTGCTACAGCAGGAGAGCGGAGCCACCAGAGCCATCTCTTTTCCCTGGGATCCCAGCTCAGTAACAGGCCTTGCTAGCCACCCAGGGCATGGATCTGCTCTTCCCATGCCCTGGCAGCACTCCATGCCTGACAGGAGGCTGCACCTCAGACAGTTGCTTGGGGTAAGATGTCAAGGGCAGGTACCTTGAGGACAGGGCAGACACCCCTGCAGGCACAGGGATGTGGGTTTGTTAGGGTGTGCAAGCTGGTGGCTAACCCCTGCCTGTCTCTAACAAGCTCACAGTGTGAGAAACTGGGGAAGGAGCAGTAGCAAAGGGCAGTAATGCACCTACACATGGCCCAGCCTGGGGCATGCAAATGAGACAACAATATGAAAATGACAAAATTGGGCAGATTGGGGGGGGGGACAACAACAGGGGATTAGCTTGACTGAACTGATGATGCAGGTAGAAATTACTTTGGCAACCATATCATAAATACCAAACTGGGGTACAAAAATCAACAAAACACCTTGCCGATGGGAATGGGTAAACAAAAAAGGGCTTGTGATTTATTGTTGATAGAGGGAAGCTGCTAAAGGGGAAACTTGGGAAGAGGGAAAAGGGACTGTAAGGGGAAGCAAATCACAAAATTGGGGCTGTTTGGGGGTCCCTGTTGAAAAGTCTGATCACCACAGTGTGAAGCAGGGCAATAACTGTGCTATTGCTCTGACCAGCTCTTGACAGCCAGACGGAACTTGGGTGCTTTCCCCAATGCCAGTGTGAGAACGGATATCCTGGCAGAACGGTTGTCTCATGCCTGCACCATGCTAGGCCCTAGAGGGGAGGAGGTAGCAGTTATAAAAGGACATAATCTTTCAGAACAGGAAACAGAAAAAGGTAGCCCCAAGGGGAAGAGGTTGGCTGGGTTTTGAGCAGGTCCCAAGTAATTTTCTCCTGGTAAAAACTGCCACCTGGCCTACAGAGACCAAGACTTCTGCTTCTGTTGCATCCCAGCTGTGGCTGCTAGACCAGTACTGACATTTCTCAGCTAATCTGGGGCATGGGCTTTTAGCAGAGAACAGGGAGGCACACATGCTGTCCTCACATGAGGAAGTCTGATATCCAAAGAACTTCCCATGCACCACCCAATCTGTCCCATAGCACCTGGACTGGGAAGAAGAAGCTTCTGCCCAGAAGCGAGCAAAGCTGCTTGTCCAGGACCATTTCTGCACTGTAAGAAAATGGGCAGAGCGAGCAGCCAAGCGTAAGCCATGCATCTCCAAGCACCTCAACAAAGCCTTGTTCAAGACTGGCTGGCAGGATACCATTTTCCAAGTACACAGACTGAACTCAGCCATGGCACACAACCACTGTGATGTGCCACGGCTGTGTCTGAGCTGCACCCAGCTGCTTCACTGTTCAACACATGGAAATTAGTTGTAAGGAGACAGTGGAAGTGAGGCAAAGGAAAGAAGGAGGGACATGATGATCAGGGGTCTGGAGCACCTCTCATATGAGGACAGGCTGAGTTGGGGTTGTTTAGCCTAGAGAAGAGAAGCATCCAAGGAGACGTTATAGCAGCCTTCCAGTACTTAAAGGGGGCCTACAGGAAAGATGTAGTGATAGGATGAGAGGTAACAGTTTTAAACTGAAAGAGGGTAGATTTAGACTAGATTAGGAAGAAATTCTTTACTGTGAGGGTTGAGAAACACCAGAACAGGTTGCCCAGAGCAGCTGTGGATGACCCCTCCCTGGAACTGTTCAAGGCCAGGTTGAATGGGGCTTTGAGCAACCTGATCTAGTAGAAGGTATCCCTGCCCATGGCAGGGGTGTGGAACTAGATCATCTTTAAGGTCAATTCCAACCCAAAACTATTCTGTGATTCTATGAAGGCAGACAGAAGAAATCCTAATCTAGGCTGAATCCAGAAAGATCATCTCCTGGTCCTAAAGTCAGGGCTCATTGCAGACTTTCGCTTTGGCCAAAGGCTCACTCTACATTTACCTTATTTCTTATGCTTTCCCAAAGCATCTATTACACCCTGAACTGCTGCCAGAAAGGAGATAAGGTGAAGCACAGAGCAGCAGTCTGAGCAAGATGGCAGGTCTGGTCCACAACACTGAGCCAGAAAAGAATGGATTGTCTCTCCTGATTAGCAGAGACTAAGAGCCTTCCCTGCTGCACGTATATTTCTGTTGTGTGGCAGGGTGCATAAATAAAGCAGGCCATGTGTAGGAGCATTTCTCCTGTCTTCCGCACTTACGTCTTAGTCGCAAATTGGCTGTTACGAGAGATTATGTCATTGCTGAAGCAAGAAAAATAAATATCCTTTCCTCCCAGCCAAGAGGAGTGCAGGGCTGTGCAGGGACCCCTGGTCTGGCACAGATGCTGGAGCATTTTCCTTCCTCACCGTCACCCTCTTTAGTGAAAGCTGGGTCAGCCACTTTGCATGTCCGCCACTATCAGCTCCACAGGATGGAGCTGACACAGTGCACTGAGATACAGTGACCACAGTGATGGAAATGCACAAATACCCATGGCTGTATGGAAGGGAGAGTCCTGGGGCTCTGCTCCTGGGAGGCTGCTCTTCATCATTTAAATCATGGAGCCTCACACTGGAGTCACAAGCAAGGATTATGGGCAGGTGGCCTGGGCCCCCTGCCAAGCAATGCCCAGAGCTCTTCTCTGGAGCAGGCGGGCAGAACTGCTCTTGGGATGCGTACATGGACCCACCATAGACAGGATGGGACCACCCAGCAGCCAACCATGAGCAGCAAATGCCTGCTG